TATAATCACGAAGTCAATGCATTCTGTTGGAAGTCGTGCTTTCATTTTCTGACCCTTTACCTTTCCCATCAGAATGTTCTTTGCCAGAACTGGCCCCTTCTGAAAACATGTCCAAAGGACGTGAGATGATGCTTCATCATTCTTTGTCCTAAACCCCTAAAGAGCACCCTGGCTGCACTTCTTCCAAGATACACTTGTTTGTTCTTTTGGCATTCCATGGGATATTTGGTATTCTTACAGAACACCACAATTCAATGGCATAAATTCTTCTGTCATCCTTAATTACTGTTCAGTTTTCAGATGCACAAGAAGGAAATGAAAAGACCATGGCTTGGATAAGGCGCACCTTAGTCTTTAAACATACACTACTGCTCTCTGAAGTGTTATTTAGCACTTTAAGACATTCGTGACAGATTTTTTCCAACACAAATCTTTTGATTTCCTAACTTCTGTTGCTATGGGTATTCATTGTTGTTGTTATGTACTGTCAAGTCGCCTGCAACCTATAGTGACCCCATTTGCAGCAGCTCTGAACTCTTCCCTGTCCTGAGTCAGTCTCACTAATTCCAACACACCAACCCCTTTAACCCTAGTACTGTATCAATCCATCTCATCCGGGGTCTTTCTCCTGAGCTGTCCATCCACTTTTCCAAGCCTGGTGTCCTTCTCCAAGGACCAGTCTCTCTTGGCCACGTGCCCAAAGTATGTGGGACAGAGCTTCAAAATCCTAGCCTCCAACGGGAAACTTTTTCACCCTCTCCAAGACAGATCTATTTGTTTTCTATTTGTTCAAGACTCTTCTCTAACACCAAAATCCAAAGGCATCGATTCTTCTTCTGTCATCCTTAGTCACTGTCCAGTTCTCTGATGCATAGCAAGTAACTGTGAAGATCATGGACTGAATTAGCCGCACCTTAGTCTCTAGACAGATAGCATTGCTTGTCAGGACTCTAAAGAGGTCCCTGACAGATTTTCCCAATGCAATTAATCTTCTGATTTTCTGACTGCTGGTGCCAAGAGTATTGACTGTGGAGCCAAGCAAGAGGTAATAAAGGTATGGAAACAGGATGCATCCCTGACACACTCCTTTCTTGATTTTGAACCATGCAGTGTTTCCCTGCTCTGTTCTAATGGCTGCTTCCTGGTCCAAGTATAGGTTTTGCATAAGCACAATCAAGTGTTCTGGGATTCCCATTTTCAAGGTTAACCACAATTTGTTATGATCCACACAGTCAAATGCCTTTGCACAGTCAATGAAATACAGAAAGACATTCCTCTGATACTCATTGCTTTCTGCCAAGATCCATATGACACTGGCAATAATGTCTTCAGTGCCATGAACACTATTAAATTTAGCCTGTATTTCTGGAAGTTCTCCGTCAATGTACTGTCCTAGTCGTTTCTATATTATCTTCAGTAGGATTTTGCTAGTGTGGGAAGATAATAAGAACATTATTCATGAAGAATGCAAAATGTCGTTACAAAGAAAGAAGAAAAAAAAGGCCAAAATGTATGTCAGAAGAGACTCTGAATATTGCACTAGAGCGCTGAGAAGCCAAAGCAAAGGGAAGAAATTAAGACGTTAAGGAGCTGAACGGTAGATTTCAAAGGGCAGCTCGGGAAGACAAGGCAAAACAATTATAATGAAATAAAGTGCATGGAGCTGGAGTTGGAAAATCAAAAGGGCTGAATATGCTCAGCATTTCTAAGCTGAAGGAACTAAAAAACAAATTCAAACTGCAAGTTGCAATGCTTAAGCATCCTATGGATGGCAGAATTCATTGTCGATCCAAATAAAATTATACTGGTGACAACTTCAATTTTTCTGTCCTTCTAACATGATGGAGGATTCAATGCTGAGGATTTTTGTTTTGGTCAAGTTGAGGTATAATTCACACTGGAAGTCTTTGGTCTTTTACAGCAAGTATTTCAAGTCTTCTTCCCCTTTAGCAAGCAAAACTGTCATTTGCACAACACAAGTTGTTGACAAGTCTTTCAATCCAGATGCTACATTATTATACACAGTTTGGCTTCTGAAGTAATTTGCTTGGCATACAGATTGAATAGGTACAGAAAATGTATACAACTCTGATGCACACCATTCCTGACTTTAAATGATGCAGCATTCCCTTCTTCTCTTTTGAAAATAGCTTCATGATCTATGTATAGGTTTCTCCTGAGAGCTTCATGCAGAATCTGTGGGAAAATCATCGCCTAATAAATCTCAGGAGGTAAAAAAATGTAGGTTGGAAGTGTACATTCCACGTCCCGATTCATGACATGATTAAGTAATAAGCAAGTACGGTTAAACTATAATATTCTTTCTCTCCTCATTTGTATACATAAGGACTATTTTCAGAGTCTCTTCTGATATCTATTTTGGTCTTTTCTTTCACTCGTTTTAATAATGACTTTTTGCTTTCTTCATGGATGATATCCTTGAAGTAATTCTACAATTATCTCGATAATTAGTGTTCAGTGTCTTGGATCTATTGTTAACACAGTTTTAAATTCGGACAGGATAGACTTAAAAGTCGTATTTTGATTCCTTTGGATTTGCTTAATTTTCTTCAGTTTCAGTTTGAATGTGCACTAGTAGCTGATGGTCTGCCTCTTCCACAGTTGGCACCAAGCCTTGCTGGGACAGCTAAACTGATATGCTCCAATGATTCTTTTCACAGACGTAGTCAATCAGATTCCTATGTAGTCCACCAGGTGAAGTCTACATGTATGGTCGCCATTTGTGTTTTTTAAAAACTAATTTTGCAATGAATACATCATTGTGCATAAAATTCAATCTCGATCTCCAGTCTCATTTCTGTCACCAAGTCTATAATTTCTAACTACCAGTTCCTCCTCTTTATTTCCAACTTTTATATTCCAGTCACCAACTATTATGAATGAATGGCTGCATGATTTGATCAATTTCAGACTGTAAAAGTTGGTGGAAACCCTCAATTTGCTCCTCTTCGTCTTCAGTTGTTGTTGCATGTATTTGAATAACAGTTGCATTAATATGTCTGTCTTCTTGTATGTGTGAGGAAAGTAGCCTATCACAAACAGCATTGTACTTTAGGACTGACCTTAAAATAGTCATTTTTATTATGAATACAACCTTATTTTTCCTCACAGGGACCTCCCTAGAGTACTCAAGAGCAAGGATACCAGTTTAAAGACCAAGGTGCATGTAATCCAAGCCACGCTCTTCTCAATGGCTTGCTATGAATATGAAAGTTGGTCAATCACTAAATTGATACTTTGGTGTTGTGGTGCTGTACAGTATAGAATAGTCCATAGACAGTCAAGAGAACAAATCAGTCTTCTGTGGAGAAAGTGCAACCAGGATGTTGCTTAGAGGCAATGATGGTAACACTCCATCTCATGTACTTTGGGCATCTTGTTTGGAGGGGCCAGTCCTTACTTAGAGAATTAAATCATGTTTGGAAAGGTGGAGGGTAAGCATAAGGATGACTATCCTCAGGAGATGAACTGACAGTGACTGTAACAATGGGCTAAAGTGTGTCAGAGATGGTGAAGATGGCACAGTTCTGGGCAAGGTTCAGTCTTCGTTCACACGAGCTCTATGAGCTGTAGCTGACTAGACAGCATATAAAAACAATATAAATAGGGCTTTTAGTCAAAGCTAATCATAAAGGAGCACCATAAAGATGGAGAAAGAATTGAGGTTGTTAAGGATTTCATCTTGTTTGAGCCTACAATTAACAAACACTCTTGGTAACAGCAGTCAGAAAATGAAAAAAGAGCTTTGATGTCAGTTTAGAGATTAATGCATGCCTGATTCAGGCCATGTTCTTCTCAATTGCTTACTACGCACCTGAAGCTGAACAATTAATAAGGAGGATGGAAGAATCGATCCTTTGGAAGAATTGATGCCTTTCAGTTGTGGTGCTGAAGAGTACTGAATATACCATAGAATGCCAGAAGAAAAAGTCTATCCTAGAGAGGGTGAAATCATTTTGCTCTTTGGAGGTAAGCATTTTGAAGCTCTGTGTCACATACTTTGGGCATGTTACCAGGAGGGACCAGTCCTTGAAGAGGGCCATCAGGCTTGGAAGGGCAGAGGGTCAAAACAGAAGACGACTCTAGATGAGATGGACTAATATGGTGCCTACAGCAATGGGGTCAGGTGTGTCAGAGGCAGTGAGGTTGGCTCAAGATAGGGCAAGGTTCAGAGCCTTTGTTCACAGGGATACTATGAGTCAGTCAAATTGATGGCACATAACAACAACCATGAAAGAGAACACTGGTAATACACCTCATTTTTTTAATTTTACTAATCTTTAAAATTAGCAATATAGACTACCCATAAGTGTATTTTGAGGATTCAAACTGAATATGCTTCATGCTTTGCAAAGTTTCAACATTAGTTCAAACAACTTAACAAGAGTTGTCCCTTAAATCCTCATTAATCTTTTTCTTATAGTTAGAAAAACGAAATTCTCTGCTGTTATATTGTTGTTATGTGCCATTAATTAGCCTGTGACTCATAGAGACGCTGTGTACAACAGGTCTGAACCCTGCTTTATCCTGGGTTATTTATCCAGTTATGGTATCAGTCCATCTCCTCCAGAGTCTTCAGCTCCTGCACTGTCCTTCCACCCTTCCAAGCATGATGTCCTTCCTTGCCACATGCCCAAAATATGTGAGTCGCAGCTTCAAAATGCTTGCCTCCAAGGAGCAGCCTGGTTTGACTCTAGGACAGATCTGTTTGTTCTCTTGACAGTTCATGGTACATTCAACACTCTTCTCTAGCACCACAACACAAGATATAGATTCTTCTTCTATCATCCGTAGTCATTGTCCAGCCCTCTGATGCACAGCAAGTAACTGCAAAGACCATATCCTAAATCAGCTACACTTTATTCTGCTGTTATAATTCATATCAAATCACCATAATTACATTAAAATTAACAACAAGAAAAATACAGCCACCTAAGATAACTAACCTGTTTTAATAATATTCAAAATTTCAGTCTTACCCTCAAATCTCCAGTTCCAGGAAAGTATTCTCCATATTTATGGAATGATACTGTCATTACACGATCTGTTGTATAAAAAGCTTCTTCAACACCATCACCATGATGGATATCAATATCAATATATAAGACTCTCTGATGATACCTAAAAATAAGAAATCATACTAAGAAATTGGCTTTTTTTCAGATGGGAAAACCAAGAGACTCAGGAAAATATTTTTTGAACTCTTTGATTCTAAAATGTTTAATGATCTGTTTTACTTTTTCACTTCCAGCATAAGTAACTATTAAAGTATTTCAAGCTACATATAAATTTCAGACCTTTTAAATTCCGTCTTCGGGCCCAAACTAGTTCTGAAAATGTATTCACTCTTGTGAAATCTGTCCTGTTCAATATGTTTTTATATAGCACACCTTACTATGTAGTAATTACTAAAAATTATACTTAAGGCTTCATTCAAAAAACACTAATAATTCTTATTTCTCTAAAATAAGATTAACAAACTTGTGCACACAAGACAAATCTGGCAGGCTGCCTTTTTTAACAGCCTATAAACTAATAATGATTAACAAACAAAATGAAGAATATCCTATGACATGACAGAATAAGTGAAATCCAAATTTGTCTCCAATTTTAGAAATGATTTAAAAAAAAAAAAAATCAACACGGTTCGAATCCACGAGACACTCTGCCGGAGAAGGAGGCGCAATATCCTCCTGTACCAGTCAGATCTGATTTGACGGTACATGCACACACACACAAAAAAAAATTTAAAAAAAAAAAAATTTAAAAAAATAAAAAAAAAAAAAAAACAAATCAAGAGAAATTACTATGTAGTATATGACAATAAACTTTAATTTACACCCAAATATAGTTATTTGTTCCTACACTGTCTCTCTGGTTGTTTTTGTGCTGTAACTGTGGAGTTCACTAGTGGTGACAGAGACAGTATGTGTGCTATTTCCATTGCAAAGAACAAGGGTTAATTATCAACTTCATGCATTTTTTAAAACCACATGTATCACTTTAATATTTTATCACTGGTATACTCCCTTAATATTCAAAGCCAAAAAAGTGAACTTTAAATGATATCCTTGTAATATAATAATTTTTCATTAGCTTAATCTGTAATTCAAACCTGAATCATCAAACTACTACTAACAATAAAGGATAATTTTAGATTTTATGCATTTCTTACTCTTCATAATTCAAGAATGGGGCAACATTCCTGTATCTGTACAATGATTTATAATCAATTAACAGATAATGTACCATTAACTATTTAAAACAAAGCCACACAATAGTTTTTGTTTATTAAAACATTTACCATGCACAAAGTTATCAATATAAATGAACTTACTTTAGTAATTCAAGGATGGCAAGCACAATATCATTAACATAACAGAATCCTGATGCTTCTGATTTCTTGGCGTGATGCAATCCTCCAGCCCAGTTAACAGCCATATCAGTTTGTTGTCGGTTTAACTTCACAGCCCCAGCTTAGAAATAGAAATAAGCCAAGGTGTATTCTAAAAATGCTGAAGTTTTTAAGATATAACTAGACAAAAGTTCTATAGGTAAGAGTATTCCATATGTGAGGAAAGTTTAAAATATACAAAAGTTTAAAAGATCTTAAAAAGGTCATAATAAAATGTTTTCTAAGTCAGTCAGTAACAAAAAGTCATTTTCTCTACGTTTTCCTACAGCTATTCATTTCCCACTAAGAAAAAATATTAAATAAAGGAATCAACCAAAAAAGGAAAGAAAGTATTGGAAACTAGAAGGGAGATAGAGGAACAATCTCTACTTGAAAAGAGAAGAAATTATAATGTTCAATGAAATGCTTGATTTATTTTAATAGCGTTAAGACAATATACTCTTGAATATACTGATACCTTTTCAATAAAAATCTAGTACTATTAAAAATGTTGATTTAAACAATAGCTAAAAATTACAAACCTACTTTAATCAGTTTTTAAATCTGAGTAAACTAGAATACTTACCAACTGAGCCACCAGTTGAGAGCTGACAAAACTCAAAGAGTCCATCAAATACTGGGCAATCCTCTCCAACGTTAACTATGGGCAAGAGCTTTCATTAATTTGAACATATTCTATACTTACACAAAAGCTTCTTATAAAAACTGTTTCCTACAAATACTTTTAAAATCTGATACTGTCAGTAAAACAAACTTTTTGGTTCTAATTTAAAGTTTACAGATTCCTTATGACCCAGCTATTTTACTGCTTGGAATGTACCCCAAGAAAATGAGAACTGAGGCTCAAATAGAGATTTGTACACTAATGTTCATAGCAGGGTTATTCACCAACCAAGAACATGGAGACAGCCCAGATATCCAACCACATCTGAATGGTTTGGAAAATATGGTACATTTACCCAATGGAATACTACGCAGCAAGCAGGAGCAGTGATTTTAAAAATTACTACCTAACTTGGGAGGGACTGGAGAGCATTACGCTGACTGAACTAATGACAGATATTGTATAAAACCATTATAGTAAAATGAGTATGAAGATCCAAGGGGGGGAGGAAACAGAAAGGTTAGGATGGGGGGGTGTCTGTTAATCACAGGATTGCACAATTTGATGGGGGAGAAGGAACTGGGAAAGATTCGGTGTAAAAAAACAAAAAAAACCAACCCAATATATTCAAACTTAGTAATTAAATCAGTATTTTTTTAAAGAACTTAGTCTCATAAAGATAAATACTGTGTAAGACCTTTGTTGTAAAATAAGTATAAGGATCCAAAAGGAGGGACGGCTTAAAGGGTCACACAATTCGATGGATATAGGGAGGCGTGGGGAAAGGAAAGGGGAAAGATCTGGTGTGATAATGTGGTGAAAAAAAAAAATTCTATGAATATGTGAAATGTTTAATAACTACATTTTATAATACTGAAACTTTTTATTTAGAAAAAATCATTATCAAAGGGAAAAATGATGAGACTGAGCTTTAATATCAAACTTGCAGATCAAGACTAAGTGTATGTACTAATGAAATAAAAAATTGATACATATACACCTATGGTCACTATAGCAAGTATTTTCAACAGCAGAAAGTTGGAAACAACTTAAGTGTCCATTAACAGAGAATAGCTAAAGAACCTATTGCTACACTTACACAACAGAATATTATGCAACACTAAAGAATCATAAAGAATTTGTGAAACACTACACCACATAGATGAATCTAGATGAAATTCTGCTGGTCACAAAAGGACAATTACAGTGTAAGACTACTAGCAATAAAACAACCAAGAAAATATCTCATTCTTGCTCACTGCTGTTGAGTTGGAATCAACGGAGTTAACACTCTGCTCCCTTGGGTTTTTGAGGCTATGAATTACAAGAGACTGCTCCTCTTTTTTTTTTTTTAAATAAACTGCCAGAAGGCAGGACTCTGAGCTAGCATTCCAATTCTCTACAGGCAGTACCATCAGAGTTCCTAAGGAACAGTTTAGACAGATACAATTATTCTCGGGAGGTTACCAGGAATAGGAATGATAGAAAAAATGTAGTAAAACTCAATAGATAAATTGAGTGAAGTGAAAGGCAATAGATAATAAGGAGTTGATCAGACAATGCAATTACATTAATCAACTGTAACTAATGTAAAACACTGTTCACATCCTTTTAAGATGACATTGGGTAACCTTCAAAACAATGCTATCACTCTCTACAGTAGCATTTGTCATTTTATCAAAGAGAACACTATGTACAAGACAGTAACCAAGCTAAGGTTAGTCCAAAAACAATAAAAAATAATTCCGTAAAGCCACACCACCCTAAACGGGGGAGGGAGGTTACCTCTACCAAAATTCATTATCCAAAAGTGAGCAGGGACCAAAATAAAAAGGAAAGGAACACACTCAAAAAGCTCTTTGTCAGACCTCAAGTAGGGTATTTATTTAGAGCAGCTTTAATATTACTATACTAACTTATCCAATCAATAATTCAAAAGAATAAAAAAACTACTTAGATTTGGATACTCAAATTTATCAGAATATTTAAGATGCCAACAAAAATATTTTAAATATAAAAACATACATCTTTGCATCTGTTTACTGTACTCAGACATGTTATCTGGTCTTATCGAACGTAGAAATTTGATGTACTCATCACTGTGATACTTTGTCATCTCTTCAGCAGTGGCTTTATGGGGTCGCTGTGAGGAAAAATGCAAACACTGTTCAATTACAACTGGTTATGTCAGAATTATAAAAACAAATACACACTCTCCCCTGTCATCTCAAACAAAATAGTCAACGTCACAATCTAATTAAATTTATTCAACTACATTTTTAAAAATAATAATCAACTTCAAAGCCAATCTCAAACATATTTAAAACATTGTTAGGTGCCATCTAGTCAACTACAACTCACAGCAACCCTATGAATAAGATTAGATCCTTGACCTACTATGTGCCATCCTCACCACCTCAGTCATGCTCAAGTTGCCTGCTGTCGTCACTATGTCAATCCACTTTGTTAAGGGTCTTCCGCTTTTTCTCTGGCCTTCCACTAAGCCCAGCATCTGTTTTTCCAAGGACCAGCCCTGCAGCTACAACGTCCAAAGTATTTAAGAAGATGTTTCACCATCCTTGTCTCAAAGCAGCACTCTGATCACACTTTCTACAAGGCAAATTTGTTGATTGTTTTGGCAGTCCACAGTATAGTCAATACTCTGCCAGTATCACAAGTTAAAGGCATCAATTGTTCTGTCATCCTTATTCATGGCTCAGTTTTCAGCTTCATAGAAAGCAAATGAAAAAATAGTTTGCATGAAGTGCACCTTAGTCTTTAAATTGACAACTTTGCTCTTTAGCACTTTTAAGGTGGTCCTTGATCACAGATTTCCCCAATGCAATATGTCTCGACTGTCTGACTTCTATTACAGTGAATGTTTAATGTGATTTCAAGTAAAATGAAATGGTCTGACAACTTTAATCTTTTCTCCATGTCATGAAGTTGCCTATTGGTCCAGTGAGGACTTTTTGTTTTCTTGAAGTTGAGATGTAATCTATATTGAAAGCTGTAGTCATTTATCTTTTGCAGTAAGCACCTCAAGTCTTCTTAACTTTATGCAAGTAACATTGTGTCATCTGCATAATGCAGGTTGTTGATGGGTCTTTCTCTGTTCCTGATGTTGCATTCCTCTTCGCACAGAGTAACTTCTCTATTTATTTGCTAAACATACAGACAGACTGACAGGTATGGAGAAAGGATACAATTCTGATGCACATCTTTCCTGATTTTAAACCATGTAGTAGTTCAATGTGCTTTTGGACAGCTGCTTCTTGGTTTATATATAGATTTCCTTGAAACTCAAGTGTTCTGGGATTCCCATTCTTCTCAATGTCATACATAATTATTATGATTCACACAGACAGATGTCTCTGCATAATCAATAAAACAGAAATAAATGACTTTCTGGTATTCTTTGCTTTCAACTAAAATCCATCTGGTATTAGCAATGATATTCCCCAGCCATGGCCTCTTCTGAACCTCGCTTTAATTTCTGGCAATTCTCTGCTGATTCCTGAATTCTCTGTTCCAGGTGCTTTCTAATAATCCCCTGCAAGATTTTACTTGCATATGGTATTAATGATATGTTTTTATAATTTTCACATCCTGTTGGATTAGTGTATTTTTTTTTCATGAGAACAAATACTAATCTTTTCAGTGAAGTAGCTGTCTTCCAAATTTCTTGGCATGCACTAGTGGGGATATTCAGAGCTACATCTGTTTCATGAAACACTTCAATTGATACTGCATCAATTTCCGAGGCTCAATTTTTTACCAATGCCTTCAGTACAGTTTGGTACTTTTCTTTTAGTCATTATTGGCTCTTGATCATGTATGCTACTTTCTGAAAAGGTCTAGTGTCAACCAATTATTTTTTAAAGGATTAGCCTGTCTTATTATGAACTATGAATTAATCACTACTTGTATTTTAATAAAAATGTATCAAATCCACGTTCATAAATTTCACTTTCCTCACATTCTCAATTATAACCCTTTTGCTCAGTGAAACTGGCCTCCCAAGATGAAATTCATTTTCAATCCTATGTTTTTGTTTACAATTTTCCTTTGCCAATCTTAATCACTCTTATTTTGAAGAGTTCAAGTTTATTTATGACATTTCTTTCATAAAGCTTCCACAGAATGAGTTTTATTCTTCTGATCTCTAAATGTATCTTAACAAAAAAATGTATGATACATATATTACCTAACATAGCTAAAACATTTCAAGTCTATTTCCTACACAAACGGAAAGGAATTTTAGAGTCTTTTATTTTATATACATCATCTTATTTTGATGGACAAAACTGCCAAAACATTTAAAACAGCTATTTCATCTCATCTGTCATTTGTATGCAGTAACCTGCTGCGGTGTTAGCCTAATTGTTTTTTTCAAGCCATTACAGTTAGCTCCCTCTAGTCTCTAGCTACTTTAACTGCAGACATATGGTCTTGTAAATCAGCAGTCTTGAAAACCAACAGCTGTGGGACTAGGATAGACAGCAAGACTTGATGCGAGCAAAACTTCTGGTGGCAAGATCTGAGGGAGACTGGAGCAAGACACTGCCTGGTAAGAGTGTGACCCTGGTGGTGGAGACTGTGGCACTGCTGTGGAGAAGCTGTGGCAAGGGGTAAGCAGAGAAGCCCTGAGATAAAGGCCACAGTTAAAAGATTCTGCTGTTCTTGTTGGATGGTTGAAGGAGAAGCTGACTTATTAACTGCTCTGAGGCAAATCCTGCTGAATGATTTGGATCTGACTACTGAACTGAAACCACAGCCTGGACTAATTGAGGAACCAGGACAAAAACCTGGACTAGCTCTGGGTGATATTCTTTGCCTCCCCGAGTCTCCAATTCCCTAATGAACTCCACTCTCAGTACCACAACTGTGACTCTGTGAGTCAGCAACAAAGAAACAAACTACTTGCTGTTGATGTGGTTCTAGAAGCACCATGGGGCTGGGCTCTTTATCTGGGCAGTGATGGGCTATGCTATTCTTACTCTTCTCTGGCCCTTTCAGAGAGACATTCACATGGTGCCCCCGTGTCCCATTTTCTTCTTTCTAGACACCCACACATATTGTACACCAATAAATATCTGCAGAATTAGTTTCCTGAGCTAACTCTTTTACAATTGCTCTAAATAGATTCTTTTCAGCAGTGCAAACAGATCCACAAGTATTGAGAGGGATTATTGAGGCAGTTAAATGTTTTCTAGAAATATGAAAGCCTGGGACTGGTGAGTTATTTTGCAAATGAATGAGGAAGAGGATCAGGGAATGCAGTTATATGTCTCACACTCAGCTTTCTCTCATGATTTTATGTTGTTTTGGGTGCTTTTTAAAAAAAAACCCCAACAAATAGTTTTCATTTTCTACTGGGTCTTTCCATCTGCTAAAGACTGTTTCAAAAGTAACTAATAAACCAACAAAATTCCAAAGTAAAGAAAAAAGTCAGGGCTGAAGAGCAATTATGAAGAGATACACTTACATATATTTCCATTTTTCTATATAAGCCATAATTTAGCAGCAAGTTATGGGTCATGCGGATTCGATGAGGTTTCATTGGATGACCTTGTCCATAGTAGTAGTTTCCAATATCACCTAAAACAAGAAGACAGAGAAACTAAACAATACAGACAAGAAAATCTTTATGAATGGAGTATATTTTATATATTTTCATTATTAAAATGCATTTACCACTTAAACCATTGATTTCATATTCATTGTGATCTTTAAGCTTCTGAAAACTAGAAGACCCTACCATTTACTTCTACATGCTGATAATGCCATTTTAAGGCTTTTTAAATCAATATTGACATACTAAGTATTGACAAAGTGAGATGGCTTGGCAAGGGACATTTTGAATCAGGTGATCATATGATCTACAATGCTGGAGAGGAAAAGATGAGAAAAAATAGGACTGATTTCTTAATTAAAAAAGTCATTTCTAGATCCATCTTGAAATACAATGTGGTGACAGTATAATATTCATATGCATAAAAGGAAGTTCAGTAAATACTACTATCTTCCAAACATATGCACTAACAACTAGAGCCAAAGAGGAGGAAATAAAGGATTTCTACCAACTTTGACAGTCAGAAAGCGATCGAACATGCAATCAAGATACATTAATAATAATGGATGACTAGAACGCAAAAGTTTGGAAAAGGGAATAAGGATCAGTAGTTGGAAAACATGGATGCGGAGACAGAAATGAAGCTGGAGACAAAATGATAGAATTCTGTACATTCAATGATTTATTCATTACAAATGTCTTTTATAACAAATGCAAATGCAGGCTATATTAATGGATTTTACCTTATAGTATGCATAGGAATCAAATTGCTAGAGAAGCCCAATATCAGCTATGAAATCTAGGCCAGATGCTGATTGTAGAACAGACCACCAACTACTTATATTCAAAACTTCAAGCTGAAGGTGAAGAAAATTAAATCCACAGCAACCAAAATTTGACCTTTTAAGTCTATCCCACTCGAATTTAAAAACCATCTCAGGAACAGGTTTGAGACCGTGAACACCAATGAGAGAAGACAAAATGAGCTGTGGGAGTATATCAAACATCAAGAATGCAAAAGGTCATTACAAAGACAGGAGGAAGAAGAGACCAAGATGAATGTCAGACTCTGAATACTGTACTAGAGCACTGAGAAGCTAAAGCAAAGGGAAGAAATTAAGGAGCTGAACAGAAGATTTCAAAGGGTAGCTAGGGAAGACAAAGGAAAGTATTATTGTGAAATGTGCAAAGAGTCAGAAAATCAAAAGGGTCAAACTCAATCAGCATTTCTTAAGCTGAAGGAATTGAAGAACAAACCCAAGCCATGAGTTGCAATACTTAAGGATGCTTTGGGCAGAATATGAAATTATCAAAGAAGCATTAAAAGAAGATAGAAGGAGTATACAGAGCCACTGTACCAAAAGGAATTGACACAGAAGAATTTTATGAAGCTCAAGAGCCTGCGGTAATGAAGGAAGTTCAAGTTGCTCTGAAAGAACTGGCAAAAAACAAGGCCCCAGGAACTGAAAGTACACTAATTGACATATTTAAAAAAAATAGATGCTGCCCTGGATGTGCTAAGTAGTGTCAAGAAATTGGAAGACAATCATTTGGCCAACTGACTGGAAGAGATCTATATTTGTTCCCATTCCAAAGAAAGGTGACCAAACAGTGTGTGGAAATTATTGAACAATATCATTAATATCACATGCAAGCAAGATTCTGCTGAAAATTACCCAAAAACGACTGGAGCAGTACATCAGCAGAGAACAGCCAGATGTGCAATTCTAAACTGGGTTTAGAAGCGGCTGTGGTACTAGGGATATAGGTAATGTTAGATGGATCTTGACTGCGTTTCATTGACTATACAAAGGCGTTTGGCTGTGGCTGATTCTGAGAAGTACAGGAATCCCAAAACATTTGATTGTGCTTATGGGAAACTAGGAAAAGGAGGCAGTCATCAGAACAGAGCAAGGAGACACTGCATGGTTCAAAACTGGGAAGGGTGTATGGCAGGGATATATCCTGTCTCTATTTTTTCAATCTATAGGCAGAAGAGATCATCTGGGATGTTGAGCTGTATGAGGATAAATGTGGCATCTGGACTGGAGGAAGGCTCATCAACAGCCTGTGTTAAGCTGATGACACAACTCTGCTAGCTGAAAGTGAGGAGGACATGAAGTGCTTGCTGCAGGTCAATGACTGAAACCTTCAATATGTATTAAAGCTCAACATACAGAAAACAAAGATCCTCACCACTAGACCTATTGGCAGCATTACGATAGATGATGAAGAGATTGAAATTGTTATCTGCTTTAGTTTGCCTGGCTCCACAATCAACACTCTTGGTACCAGCAGCCAGGAAATCAAAAGATGAATTGCAGGGACCTTCCCAGAGTACTGAACAGCAATGATGTCAGTTTGGAGACTAAGGAGTGCCTGATCCAAACCATAGGCTTAACAACTGCTTGCTATGCATCAGAGTTGGACAATGATTAGGGATGACAGAAAGAGAGCTGATGTCTTTGAGCTGTGGATCTGGAGAAGAGTACTGAATATACTATGGACTGCCAGGAGAACAAACAGGTTTGTCCTAGAGAGGGTGAGACCAGGAAACTCCTTGGAGGCAAGGTTCTGAGGCTTCATTTGACATACTTTGGGCATGCTGCATTGAGTGACCAGTCCTTGGAGAGGGATATCATGCTTGGAAGGGTTGAGGGACAAAGAGAAAAAAAGACCACCAGTGAGATGGACTGATTCAGTGACTGGGGTAATGAGGGTAGGTGTGTCAGAGATGGAGCACAGGATGGAGCAGATTTCAGGGCAATTATACATATGGTCACTATGAGTTGCAAGTGACTTGACAGCACATAACAACAACAACATTTTTTGTAGACTAAGGAAAAGAAACTTTTCTAATTTTTAAATCTCCTAATGTCCTTATTTTATAGAATGAGGACAAATAAAATATTCTTTATTAATTTACAAACATTTTTGTTGTGTAAGTGATATTTATGCTTTGAGTTCCCTGAAAAATTAAAATGTTTATGGTTAATTCTCTGAGTTTTACTGATAATGGCTTAAATTTTCAAAAGAAAGTATTGCTTCTTCAATGATGTCCCTGTGTCCTTGAAATTATTTAGAGCTGACATTAATGAGGGTTAAAATATTCAAATATGGTCTATAAGGTAAGTGTATACAGTCTCTAAGGAAAGTAAGAACTTAAGATATCTGCATAAAATTTTTCAAAGTATTAAGGATACTGTTTCCTTCTTTATCATTATTAACTTACAATTCTGTTACATCTTATACCCCAATGTCTTCAAATTTATGCATAATTTATTCTAAAGGAAGTAAATAACACCAAAATAAATTATTTTCATTCATCCAATCTCAAGAACACGAGTCCTTTTAAAGAAAGTTGTGTAATAAAAAGTGATAATAAACAGGTCTCTTTAATATATTGTTTTTCTAATGCAATGTCATTATACATTTTATAACTTGATTAAATTAGAAATTACTTTAGTACCAATTCGAATCTGTGAATAAACATTCCAAAATTTTATTAGGAAAGCCAAGCTTTATGAAACATCATGTATATAATGTAGTGCATGGAAGGTTATTTCTAGTTTATATTATCATTACAAAAACCAACGGTAATGAAAGTAACTAATTCAAGTCTTCACATTACTACTTTGTAGAATTATCAAGATGAAATACATTTACCATCCTTGGAGATGAAGTAACTAGTTACGGGCATACTGAGACTCCAATGTAAAGTCTTGTTACATGTGAGATAGCAACCCCATGTTCAATAAAACACAACAGTTTGATACTGTACAATCCTGACAATTCCATCTGTTTGAGTGCATTGTTGGAGTGACTGTGTCAAACTGTTTTGTTGAGTGTTTTCCTCTTTTCCCCTGAACTTTTACTTTTAAAAGCATGACCTGGCCTGACAGTTTGCTCAAAGTATGTAAGACAGTTTCCCAATACTTGCTTCTAGAAACTATACAGAGTAGTGGCTGGCATGAGGAATATCAAATCTAATCTCTATGAAGAAGAATGTGGCATCAGGATAGGAGGAAGACTCCTCAGTAACCGTCAGTATACAAATGAAAAAACCATGTTTGTTTAAAGTGAGGAGGACTTGAAGCACTTTCTACAGAAGTTCAAAGACTGCAGTCTTCAATACAGACTGCATCTCAATGTGAAGAAAACAAAAATCCTAGCCACTGAACCAATGGGCAACATGGTAGATGGTGAAGAGATTCAAACTATCAAGCAATAACTTCTTCTTACTTGGATCCATAGTCAATAAACTTGGTACCAGCAGTCAAGAGAAGAGGAGACATATTGCACTGGGAAAATCTGTAGTAAGGAACCTCTCCAAATTACTGAGCAGCAATAATGTCAGTTTGAAGATTAAGTGCACCTGATTCAGGACAATCACTAAAGATGACGGAAGTAGAATTGATGCCTTTGAACTGTAGTATTGGAGGCGTGCTGAATATCCCACAGACTGTACAAAGAACAGATATGTTTTGGAGAAGGTGGACCCAGAGTCCTCTCTGGAGGTAAAGGTGATGAATCGTCTCACATACTCAGGGCACACTGATAGAAGAGGCTATTCACTGGAGAGAGACATCATGCTTAAAAAGTTAGAGGGTGCACACCCATGTTTATTGCAGCTTTGTTCACAACACCAAGGAGTTGGAAACAACCTAAGTGCCCATCAACAAACGAATGGATAGAGAAGCTGCGGTATATTCACACAATGGAATACTACGCTGCACTGAAAAACAAGGAACGCATGCAATATTATTCAAAATGGATGACTCCGGAGGATATTATGCTGACTGAAGTATCCTAGTCACAAAAGGACAAATACTGCATGGTGCCACTGTTGTAAAACAGGACTGACGTTGGGGTTGGGGAGAGATTGAGAAAAATGGATTCAATAATGTACACTGCACTGAAACAGATGAGGGAGAAAACTGTTTAAAAGGGATATGTGATTAGGTATTTTTGTCATGACAGGAGTCTAGGGCAAAGACTACATGGTGGAGTGGACCTGGGGGAGGGT